GTACATAGAATATAATGGCATGTAATATTAACAATGTAAAAATTACAGACATAATAGGTGCCAACACCTATCATTTAACAAATATACAACATGTTTTAATTAATATGTTATAAAATACACACAAATGTTGACTTTATTATTACATAATTAAATTGACGTAGTTTACAATTGTTGATACATTTAAAAACTAAACAAATCTGTCAACTATTTCAACCAGATTGTGGTATTCCTATAAATGCTGAATATTTTGCTTAATTATTAGTAATTTGCAGAAAATAATTATTTATGATGTAAGAATACAAATATTGATGTTAAAAATCACTGATTACTAAATGAATTTGTAAACTAATGTACACTGTTTTGTGATAAACTCCTTATCTCTATCACAATTCACTTCCTAATTACTGTTAATACTATTAATATTAAAACATTCATTATTTTAGTTACAACACAGTGTATTATCTGATAACAAAATATCTGATAACCAACGTGATTTTTCTTTGTAAAAATATTTATATGTATTGTATATTTTTCATTGAATATAATGACGATATTAAAAATTGGAAATTATTGTGCGCCATAAAATCAATACCTAATCTAACTAATTTTTGCTAACAGTAGTATTTTTTAGCGAGTACTAAAATTTATGACAAGCAAATATTTATATTATGATATAGTTCTAGACAAACGTAAATTATATAATGTATTTTATAATACAAAAGCGGTTAAAACAGACCTCAACCATACCTTATATGATTAGTGGATGAAAAAGGTGTGTATTTTACAAAATTGTCATATATTTTATTGGATTGATAATCAGATTTTGTTTATTACTGTAAAATATCATAATATCACTGGATATTCACTAAAAATTTACAAAATATGTGGTGAAACTATAATTAACATAATGAACATATGCTAATAGCTACATCCTTATTTAGCGCCACTGTTTACAACCAATCCGGCATGGTCTAGTGGTTAGGATAGCTGGCTCTCACCCAGCAGGCCCGGGTTCGATTCCCGGTGTCGGAACTCTTTTTGCTTAATTATTGGTTGTTTAATAAATATATTTTTATTAAACAATTAATTTGTATCTCATTAAATTATTTGGGATTTATTGATTAATTAATGTATCTAATGTATTTGTACTTGTATTCCTATTATTTGTGCTGTTAGTTTTATTATCTTAAAATCTTAATAAAATCATAACAAATATCAATCGTAACAATCTGTAAGTCTATTAAAAGTTATTATTGTTATAAATTATAAAGTACACAGGTAAGTAGTGGTAAGCACACATGTAAGTACACTTTACATTAATTATTATTATGCGTGTGTAAACAATATACTGTTAACAATTTTGTTTTTGTATTGCCATGTAAGATATACTGTACTAGTTTTACTACTATTGGTACAAAAAAGGATTATAATATTAAATAATAATAATATTAATTTCAAAAATGTCGCAAAAATAAACTGAAATATAGTTAAAATAAGTATTTTTCAATATTATTAGTTGTTTAAACGGTAGGTTTTGATTGACTGGCCGTCTGTACTAATATGACCGTGTAGTTCATCATAAAACTAAATATCTAGATAAAACAAATAATAAAATGATTGATGAAAATCACAATAGAAATAAAGAGATGACAGACAATACCGTTAATAAGGTATTCTTCTTGAGGGGCGCAAAGCCTCCAATAGTGAACCCGAATCTGACCTCTCGGGCCATTGTCTTGAAAGTCAAGAGTTCCCGAAACTGGTGCTCATCGACACGATTTGGGTCCACGTTATCGAGTAAAGCCATGATATCGTCACTCTTGGTGTGCAACAGACCGTTGGCCATACAATTGATCACCAGTTTTGTGATTTCCGATGCGGTGCTGAACATAAATAGTGTGCCGTATTGTTTCAATAGGGGATGGTTTTGGGCCAATGAGTAGATCTGTACCATAATTACTAATATAGCCACTGATATGTCTACTACTGTCACAAACGATAGGGTCCGGTCCAATGCCAACACTTTGCTCTTGATCTCGAAGAATAGCCTACTGTTTGTTGATAATTGTTTGTCAACATTTTCCACATTTTTCACCTGCATATATCTTTTATAATCATAGGCCATAGGATATATTTTATCTATTACAAAGTATATTCAGATTAATATTACTTATAATATTTTAGATTACAGCCCATTCTAAATAGTGAAGTTATTATTTTAAATATTAATAATAACTATTAAATATTGTAACTTATTTACCTTGTTGCATTTTTTGAAGCGTTATTAAATCCAATAGGTTTGTCTCAATTTGTTTGAGCTTCTCATATGTAACGAGTGAAATATTCCACATCAAGAAACTAACTGACCATCCAATTGAAAATGTTAAAAATCCCTACAAATAAACATATAAGACTAATCAAACGTATAGTTTATAGTGTAATAAATAAAACAAACAATACATACACTGATTAACACGAAAAACACTTTAGAGAAATTGATGGACTGATCGCCGGCGCTGTAGTCAATGCTTAATCTCCATAACTGATAGCCGCCGACAGCCAACGGGACGAAAATATGTGCGACCCATACGACGAAAAGCATCCCTAAAGTAGTCGACCGATCGATTCGGTAGATAAAGAAGACGTGAAAAAATTGAATCCCATATAACTGTAAGAACCAGAAGATGACAATACATCGCAACTCTTGGCATATCTTTAATGCCATCGATAAGTAATAATTTGTGATAAAGCCGTTGGAGTAGAGATTTTCCATCAATGGTGTCGATTGGTATAAATAAACAGAGAAACAATTGACCCCTGCCATGCCTATGCCAAATAGAACCCCGTAGTATTTGAGCCATACATTAATAGTTAATCCACCATCATTAGTTATGGCAACGCCACCAAAGGTAGAGTGAAGTATACGGTAATACCATAAGAATACCTTAGCCCTTAACAGTAAGGTCTGCTTATTTAGTAAATTGTTTAATAATTTTTTCATATTTTTTAAACAATATCAATAATAAATACTAATATAAAAGTAACGTAAAATACTTTATACTTTATGTAAAATACTTTTACGTTATTGTATTTGTCTCAAAATTATAATTTTAAGAATATTCTGTATATTAAATAAGTATATTTTGTATGTTTTGAATAATGTACTGTAAGAACATTATACAGTACATGTATATTGCATTCCATGTGTAATTATTATACAATCAATTATATATATATTGTTTACCAGCAAAATAAAAATAATTATAATAACATTTTTCTTACCACTAGTAATTTATTTTTATGTCTATTTGTAACAATTACATCAGAGCATGATTGATTTGTAATTTAATTAAAACACTACTAAGGGAGTACTATATTTATTAAGTGTTCGTTTTGTATATATGCAATATAGCTAAAATTTATTTATTTAATTTAATACCTTTCATTTTAAAGAGTAGTTATTCACTATAAGTCCATATTAAAAAATTTACTATATGTAATTTATTCTGGTATTCTGGTAATTTATACTGTTATTTATTCTGGTAAACATTATATTGAGTTTGTTATGCAAAAACTTAGAGGTGCTGTCTGTCGACCACTGGCTAGAGGTTGTGTAGCGATGGTAGAGACTTGAGAGCCAATAGTCGATGTGTTAGGGAGATGTTCTTGACAGAACTTCTCAAGAGAAACACCTCAAGCGATACTTCTAACTGATGTTATTACTGAGATGTTCTTTACAGAACTTCTCAGACTGAACTTCTCGTGCAAAACTTCTTGCACCGAACTTCTCGTACAAAACTTCTCGTAGAGAACTTCTTGTACAGAACTTCTTACTGATGACTTCTCTGATGTCTTCAAAGAGGTGTTTCCACTTTGATGACAAAATACTCGGATTCCACTGATGATAGGCTTCAGAGCTAATCCTCGATGTGATGTGTGGCGCGACCGGAAGTTCACTGTCTGCGCACCGGATGTATATCACAAGAAGTACTTACTTTTGATGTTATGTTGATTCTAGCTGTTCCCAGCGTAACCCCGTGACACAAGTCCTTTTCAGGGCTCTTCAGAGCGGTCCCTAATCCCAAGTTTTCGGGATAAAGACCAACAAACACGCGGTTTGATTAAATCATTTATTGAAAATAGACAAACGTGTCGGTTGGGGTTAATACATAGAATGAGC